TGTCATTGGCTATTTGTTTTTATCTTTCCAGGCCAGGGTGATTTAAGCTATGTGTCTTCTGGTTAGAGAAACTGTCTAGCGAGCTGGCTGCAAGCCGCCCAAGCTGTTTGGCTTTGTTTAATTTTCTTCTCTCAGTTTCCCCATTCCAGTTGCCTAAGAATTTTCCTAGCTTCTTACTATCCTGTCACATTTTCTTTCTTCTTTCTTTTTTTTTCTTCTTCTTCTTTTTTTTTTAATATTCTTATTGATTTCAGAGAGGAAAAGAGAGGGAGAGACAGAGAGAAACATCAAAGATGAGAGAGAATCATTGATTGACTGCTTCCTACACGTCCCACACTGTGGATTGAGCCTGCAACCTGGGCTTATGACCTGACCAGGAATCGAACCATAATCTCCTGGTTCATATGTCGACTCTCAACCACTGAACCATGCTAGCTGAACCATTTTCATTTCTTTTTTCTTTTTCTTTTTAATATATTTTTTAATTGATTTTTTACAGAGAGGAAGGGAGAGAGATAGAGAGCTAGTAACATCGATGAGAGAGAAACATCGACCAGCTGCCTCTTGCACACCCCCGACTGGGGATGTGCCCGCAACCAAGGTACATGCCCTTGACTGGAATCGAACCTAGGACCTTTCAGTCCGCAGACCGACGCTCTACCACTGAGCCAAACCGGTTTCAGCAGCATTTTCATTTCTTGATAGTGTCCTTTGGAGCACAAAAGTTTGTTTTCCAAAAATATATATATTTTAGTGATTTTTTACAGAGAGGAAGGGAGAGGGATAGAGTTAGAAACATCAATGAGAGAGAAACATTGAACAGCTGTCTCCTGCACACCCCTTACTGAGGATGTGCCTGCAACCAAGGTACATGCCCTGATGGGAATCGAACCCGGGACCCAGGCCGACACTCTATCCACTGAGCCAAACTGGCCAAGGAGAGCACAAAAGTTTTAAATTTTGATGAAGTTCAAGTTATTTCTTCTTTTGTTACCTGTGCTTTTTGGTGTTAGAACTAAGAAACCATTGCCTAACTCAAGGTCATGGAGACTTATTTCTGTTTTCTAGGACCTTATATTTAGGTCTATGATCCATGCACACTCATGTTTAAGAACCACTGGGTTAGGTTACGTTTTCTACGTATCATGGCTAATCTCTGTTCTTCCCAAACACAATCCAAACCCTAAGAATTTTTAAGTCATTGGTTAGGATAATACAAATAATAATAAAAATAGTTAACAATGTGTATTGAGCACTTGCTACGCACTAAGCATTTTACATTACATAATCTTGCTCAATCTTTACTATGTTGCCTAATCTTGCTCGATCTCCTCCATTTTTCAAGGTGTAATATATTTGCCCTGAGATGATGTAACACATGCCTCCTCCTTTTATGTAAAAGGAAATAACAACACTTGTCTCAGCCTGTCAACAACCAGCACTGTAGCTGGGCCAGCCCTTGTGGTTCTCACTATGGTTTCAAGATACCTTTCAGCAATAACCATTAGGAAACTTTGAAAAGATAAGGTTTATTACTTACAAGACCTGCAAGACCTAAAAATTACACAGCACACCTGGGGCCACATCACAAGGTTAAGGAGAGAGAGAGCGCGCGCACACACACACTCAACAGGTCACAGGCCCGGGTGGCTGTTTTCATTGGGCAGTGGCCCAGAGTTTGGAGGTGAATTTAAAACTTTCATGGGCTCACACTTTATTGGTGAATTTAAAAAGCAGGAATTTAAAGCCCCCCCGGAGAAAGCAAAATAAACAAGTAGCCCAAATGATGTTATTTAAATCAACCAATAGCTCTTCTACAACAAAGGAGCCTCAGTAAGGGGAGGCCATCTGGCTCTTAATCTAATTGTGCGCCGACAACGTGTTTATTCAAGATAGCTGTCTTTGAAGTGGATGCGTTGGCAATCAAAGCTTAAGATAGGTATTTGTGTAACATTAAAAAACCCCACACCAATGTCAAGGCTTACACTTCACATTTACATCTTTAGGAAAGAGGCTGTACAGACTAAATAAGCAGACGTGTGTTAAAAGTATGGAACAACGCTTAGCAGGGCTCAAAGGATGAGAGTGCTTTTATTCTTTCATGATACCTTCCCACAATGGAGACCTGCTCCTCCCCATGGGCAAGAAAGCTATCTGTCCCAGGGCTGATTTTTGCATTCTGCTAGCATCCTGTTCTTTCTTCCTTCTCTCATCATGGTTTGAGATTTTATTTCTATTTGTGTTATTCCTTTTTAAAATATATATATATATTTTATTGATTTTTTACAGAGAGGAAGGGAGAGAGATAGAGAGCCAGAAACATCGATGAAAGAGAAACATCAACCAGCTGCCTCTTGCACACCCCCTACTGGGGATGTGCCCGCAACCAATGTACATGCCCCTGACGGGAATAGATCCTGGGACCTTTCAGTCCGCAGACCGACGCTCTATCCACTGAGCCAAACCGGTTTTGGCTGTGTTATTCTTTTTAAAAAAATATATATTTGATTGATTTTTTACAGAGAGGAAGAGAGGGATAGAGAGTTAGAAACATCAATGAGAGAATCATCGATCAGCTGCCTCCTGCACACCCCCCACTGAATGTGCCCACAACCAAGATACATGCCCTTGACCGGAATCAAACCCGGACCCTTCAGTCTGCAGGACGATGCTCTATCCACTGAGCCAAACCAGTCAGGGCTGTGTTATTTTTAAAACTATCACATCTCTGCAACTGCTATGTTCCATAAAAGCAAGAAATACAACTTTGTCATTGCAATATTCCCCAACTCCCAGTATAGCTTCTGGGGATGTAATGATCTTTAAATATATATACTTTCTTGTTTAAAATTCTCCAAAGGCACATGCATTGCACTTTGAATCAAACCCAAATTCCCAACCATGGCGAACAGGTCCCTACCTGATTGGTTCCTATCTGCCCCTCCATCCACACCTTCTACTGTCTATCTTCTCTTTTTTTCTGACTCGGAGTCTGTGGCCTCCAGCTTGGAAGCTCTGATTAATTTATCATCTTTTAGGTGTCAGCTTAAATGTCACCTCCTCTCAGAGCCTTCCCTGACCACCCTGCCCAGGGTTAATATTATCATTGTAATTAGTTAATATCAATAACAGGAAGAAAGCAAAGGGGAGGCCACACATAAGCATGGTCATCTGGGTGGCTTCTGCAGGAAGCTACAGCTTCAAGCTCCCCAGGGAACCAGTGGTCTATTCCCTGCAGATCAGTGGGGGAAGGGATCGAACACAGGGGGAAATGAGTGTATGGGCTGCAAAGTCTGGATAACATAGGAAGGCGCCTCCCTATCACTTTAGCCGGGGAACAACAGGTTAGCTAGGGGGCAGACCCCATCAGAAAAGTGCAAAATCTTGGAAGGTCCTGGTTAAATCCCCAGACGAAAAGTTCCCTTCTCTTGTCTCTTGTTCTCCCTTGCTCCTGACCTGCACTCACCAGTGTGCTCGCCTGCCGTGTGGGTTAAAGCAGCCTCATGGCCCGTGGCTGTGCAGACCCCACACACAATGTATTGCAGCTGGGAATACAAGCTAAACTAGCCAGTTGCTGGACTGGAGTGAACTTTTTTTTTTTTTAAGAAAGCACATTGAGACTGGAAGGAGGGGCGGAGGCACTGAACAGGCTGATCTGACACTTACATGTGCTGTTTTTTGTTGTTGTTTCGTTTTGTTTTTATAAATATACTTTATTGATTTTTTTACAGAGAGGAAGGGAGAGGGACAGAGAGTTAGAAACTTGGTTGAGAGAGAGTCATCAACCAGCTGCCTCCTGCACACCCCCTACTGGGGATGTGCCCACAACCAAGGTACATGCCCTTGACTGAAATCGAACCTGGGACCTTTCAGTCCGCAGACCGGCGCTCTAGCCACTGAGCCAAACCGGTTTTGGCTGGAGCAGACTTTAATATGGAATAGAAATTCTGGGCTGCTGAAAACAAGACTGGACTTTTCCATGGTGGGACCTTGGAGAGGAACCTCCTTAACTTTGCACAATCAGTAAAGCTTTTAACAAAACCCACTGGGGCCCTGGGAAATTCTTTTCCTCACAGCACCCGCTTCCATGGGTAACATTACCACGCCCCTGCCACCAAGTTATTCTTCATCACGCAACCTGTTTCATTTTGTTTACAGATCTGACATTTCTTCATATATTTAATATTATTATAGCTAACATTTAAGCACTCACCACAAGCACTTTTCATACACTAATTAATGAAGTGGCGTGCTTCTGGATTCTTATCAAAGGGCTCTCCAGACTATAAAACCCTAATTTGAAGTGTGTGCTCACTTCTGTGGTTGTAAACACTCCCCTCAGGAGGGATTTCAAGCTACCAACCTGTTTTCAAAAGTGACTAGTAGAATTTCTAAGCATTCTTTAGTTGCTTCCAGCAGGCCATAGGAGCCAGTACATTTTTCAGATGAGAAATCTGAGGCACAAAAAGGTAAAGCAACTGGTTCCAGGCCGCACGGCTAACAAACCTGTCTACGATGCCAAAATGTATCCTCAGAATCCAATACAGTGCCTGGGGATAGTTGTCGTTCAATACACAATTGCAAGTACATGAATACTTAATAGTCCTTAAAAACATAGAAGAGAAACATTTAAGCTTTAAAAACATAGACACCGCAAGAGCGAAACTAACATCTCTTTAAAACTCACTCACAGCCCCACGAAGATAAATTCCTAATTTGATTACTTTCAGCAGCACTTCAGCTCCTGAGCGCTTTTACAATGCACCAACTGTCACAGGAGGCGTCGCCTAACCCTTCGCTACAAGCTTGACTCGCTCGGCTTTCCGTCGTTCCGCCCTGCCGGGACGACGCAAGGCTTCCTGGGAGTTGTAGTCCCCTGTCAGGTAGTTGCAACGGCAGCGGCCGCCTGGCGCTCCGGACCGCGGAACTACACAGGTGGCGCACGGGCCGCGAGGCTCTGGCGCATCGCCTTTCCCTCCCCGGCGGCGCGCCGCCCCAGCTATCATGGCGGCTCCCTTGGCCCTGGTGCTGGTGGTGGCTGTGACTGTGCGGGCGGCCTTGTTCCGCTCCAGTCTGGCCGAGTTCATCTCCGAGCGGGTGGAGGTGGTGTCCCCACTGAGCTCTTGGAAGAGAGGTGAGGCCGCCGGCGCGAGGAGGCGGCCGGGCCCCTCCCGCGCTCGCTCCCCGGGCCTCTGAATGGGAGAGGGGGCCGTGGCCGCGAGCGCCGCGCTCCGACCCGCTCGGGCGCCCTCCGGGGGCGGGAGGGCGGGGCCCGAGGACGCGTCTGCCGGGGGAGGGGGCGTGGGGCTGCTGGGTGAGGGCTGGGTCCGGAGCGGGATCGCCTGCGGGATGAAGGTCTGAGGGGGTGTGTCCCACTGGGGCCTGGAGCCGAGGGAAGTGGTCCGAAGAGGGATGCTTAGAGGGCATGCAGGGTCGGGGGGGAAATGGAGGGGGGCTTGGAATTTAACCCGGGATCTCCAGTGGTGCTCCCTGGAGTATGGGACGGTGTGTGAGGGGCGGGGGAGCGGGTATCGAACCCGGGACCCTTCAGTCCCCAAGCTGACGCTCTATCCATTGAGCCAAACCGGTTTTGGCAAGAGCATTTATTTTTTTACTTTATATTTTTATTGATTTCAGAGAAGAAGGGAAGAGAGAGAGATGGAAACATTAATGATAAGAGAGAATCGTTGATCAACTGTGTCCTGCATGCCCCACTCGGGGGATCGAGCCCACAACTCAGGCATGTGCCCTGACCTGGAATTGAACCATGACCTCCTGGTTCATAGGTCTACTCTCAACCCTTGAGCCATGCAGGTTGGGCTTAAGAGCATTTCTCATTTTACATCATAATTCTTTATTTATACCTAGTTTCTCTACTGTAATATGAGTTCCTTGAAGGTTAGAGCTGTTATAGTCATCCCTGAATCCTTTGTGTCTGGCATAGAGTAATTGCATAGTTAACTTATTGAACAAACTAGAGGCCTGGTGTTTGAAAATTCATGCACTGGATGGGGGTTCCTTCAGTCTGGCCTGTCCCCTCTCACAGTTGGGGAGCCCTCAGGGGTGGGAGGTGACCTGGCCATCAGGGGAAGGTGACGCCCCCATCATACCTCTGCTGCTGCCACTGCCGGCAGCGCAAGCCTCAGCCGGCCCTGGTTACCTAAACCTTGGGTGACCGTAGGTGGCTGGGCAGCTGACTTTTGAGGCTTGCCAGCACCTCGGGCCTGCCCTGGGTGGCTGGGCAGCCACCATTCAGAGGTTTGCCTGCGCCTTAGGCCGGCACTGGGTGGCTGGGGTGCTGAGGAGATCGGAGCACTGCAGAGGCAGGTGCACGGCAAAGCTGGGCCCACTTGGGGGCAGGCCCCGCCTTGCAGTGCACCTGCTGCCTCAGCGGGGCTGAGGAGACTGGGCACTGCCATCCTTGAGGGCGTGGCAGCAATTAGCATATTCCCTCCTTATTGGCTGTGAGTGATGCCATCTTTGCAATGGTGTGAGGGTCAGTTAGCATATTCCCTCTTTATTAGATAGGATACTGAAGAAAAGAAACTATAACATCTGATTGCTTATAGGATTGACAGGGTGAGGGATCCAAGATGAGGCAATGTAGTATGGCCATTCAGAGTACAGGATCTGGAATCTTAAAGAGGGTTTGAGTCCCTCTCTGCCTCTGCCACTTACTATCTGTGTGATCTCCAACATCAGCTTTCTCATTTATGAAATCGGAAGTTATAATATGTACCCATTAAATTAGATGATTCATGTTGAAGTTCTTAGCACAGTTATGAAAGTCAAAATGGCTAATTCTAAGATTTTGAGTTTTAATAATAGGAAGAATAGTGATGATACTGGCTGAAATAAGTGAGTCAGAAATGATAGCAGTGTCATAATTAATTTAAATAAATCTCTATTAATGGACATTGAGATTATTTTTAATTTTTTTCCCCACGTTTGAGCATGATAATTCTTCTTTGAATAAATTGCCCTAATTTAAGAACAATAATTGCTGGGTCAAAAAACCTACACTGAAAACATACATATTGCCCTGAAGAAAAACTAATGCAAATGTCAAACAAAGCACGCATTAGAGTGATTGCTCATTCCACCACCTATGAGCAATATTTCTCACCAGCTTCTAATTTATTATCTTACTGGGTTTTGGAATGGAGCAGAATATACATAAATGAAACACTTTAGAGTAGGTGGGAGTTAAAGGAGATCAAAGGAAATTTATAGTTTGATATAAAATGTTCCCATAATGAGTGGTTTGCCGCATGGGTAAGGAATACTCTATGGAAGAAAACTCCCCATTATCAGAAATGTTCAAATTAAGACTTAGATCCGCTTTCTGGGAATAAGGTTAAGGGGATTTGATAAACTATAAGACCTTTTTTGTCCTGGGAGTATCTGACACTGGCTTTTGGCCATCTGCATATGTCTTTGAAGTAAGAATGAACTTGGATGTCTTACTTTTCAGTGGTTGAAGGCCTCTCACTGTTGGACTTGGGAGTGTCTCCATATTCAGGAGCAGTATTTCATGAAGTAAGTGTTCTTGTTTTCTTTTATGGGTATTAAGAGTAATTTACCATTGGTATATGTACAAAAATAATAATTTAATAAAAAATAAAAAAAGAGTAATTTATAGCCACAGATACCAAAACCTAGCCTCTAGTTAGTACAGACATTTTTAAAAAAATCTATTTTTGAAAATCATATTTAGAAATAGCCCTTTTTTATATGTCTGTATAAGAAGTTTTCATGCCGAAACCGGTTTGGCTCACTGGTAGAGCGTCGGTCTGCGGACTAAAAGGTCCCAGGTTCTATTCCGGTCACAGGCATGTACGTTGGTTGCGGGCACATCCCTGCTGGAAACCAAATCAGTTTCACTAAAAAAGAGATGTTGACAGGAAGCCAGGAAGGCTGGTCAAAAACCTTAATTGCTCTAACCTTTAGTTGAGATTTTGTTAGCTCAAGCAGAATCTACAAGTTTCTGTTATTTCCTGCCTAAGGGCTACATGTAAATTTCTGTTTATGTTGCCTTAGATGTCTTAATAAAAGGGGATGGCAGGGCCAGAGCAGTAGTAGTTCTCCCACTAGAGTTGGACTACCGCCTGGCCCCCCAAATCGCCAAATTGAATTTCTTCAAGTCTCTTTTCATTTGTGTGCGGCCCTTCTCCAGAAGCTGAACCCTGAATTGGAACTCTTTCTACGCGGGCCGTGAAAGAGAGTCCTATACATCCCTGGTAGGGGGTGTGCAAGAAGCAGCAAGTCGATGTTTCTCTCTCATCGAGGTTTCTAGCTCTATCTCTCTCCCTTCCTTTCTGTAAAAAATCAATAAAATATATTAAAAAAAGAAAAAAAAAGTTTTCATGCCCTGACCAGTTTGGCTCAGTGGATAGAGCATCAGCCTGCAGACTCAAGGGTCTGAGGTTTGATTCCGGTCAAGGGCATGTACCTTGGTTGCAGGCACATACCCAGTGGGGAGTGTGCAGGAGGCAGCTGATTGATGTTTCTCTCTCATCAATGTTTCTAACTCTTTATCCCTCTCAATGAGATGAAAGGAATAAAATAAAAAATAAATTAAATGTTTGGGAACAAGTTGTATGGGCATACCAAAGAGTAGCCCAATAGCCAATTTCTACTTCTACTTCTTTCATTTTGCTTACTTTGAATTTACCTTATTTTTCTAGTCTCTTGAGATAGCACGAAGGTCATTCATGTGAGATCTTTCTTTTCTCATATATGCATAAATATTTATATTTTATTACTTCAAGATAATAAAATACAGCTGGCTATCGATTTATGAACACCCAGCTTATAAGAAAATTAACACATAATCATGAAATGTCTCCTAAAGATTTCCAACTTTTGGTATTCATTTGGTATTCAATACAAAAATTAATATCTGCATATTTAGTTGCTATTGGGTATAAACCTATGGATCAGTGAAACATTGATGAGAGAGAAACATTGATCTTGAAGTAATAAAATATAAATAAAATTATGTCAAGCCAGATGAAAAGAATACTTTTGAAAAGAAAGTTCATCATTGCTTTGCATTGAAATCTTCAACAGATTTTAAAATATAATTCTTAGGGAAAGGTAAGAATAGGTGAAAGTGGAGAAGGAAAATCTGTAAATTATGAATTTAACAACCTTGATTGGGTTGTTAAACCCAATCAAGGTTTAACAACCTTGATTAGTTGAAAAGTGTATAGTGTAGCCAAAACCGGTTTGGCTCAGTAGATAGAGCATCGGTCTGCAGACTGAAAGGTCCCAGGTTCGATTCTGGACAAGGGAATGATGTACTTTGGTTGCGGGCACATCCCCAGTAGGAGGTGTACAAGAGGCAGCTGGTCAATGTTTCTCTCTCATCAATGTTTCTAACTCTCTATCCCTCTCTTCCTCTCTGTAAAAAAAAAAAAAAAAAAAAAAAAAAAAAAAAAAAAAATCAATAAAATATGTTTAAAAAAAGAAAGAAAAGTGTATAGTGTATTCTCTATAATTTTAATATATAAAAACCCAGGGTTCGTAATGACTGACTGAAGGCTCAACTGAACCCTGGTAGTCAGCCCTGCAGTCAGTGCTGAGTTGCTGTGGTGACATAGCACTGGCTGCTGCCCTTGTGGGTGTGGTGCAGGTGTGTTGACCCAGCACTGACTGCTAAAGGGCTGTGGATCAGGCCCAGAGAGAGGACTGAAGAGAGAGGCAAGTTCTGATCTGCAGCTTCTGTTGCCTCTCTGTTTCTCTCCGGGCTTCACTAGCAACCATGCCTCTGTTTCTCTCAGGGCCTCTGCAGGGGCTGCTGATCAGCCCCACCTCTCTGATCAGGTCCAGAGATAGGCCTGGAGACACTGACTGGTAAAGAAATGGACCAATCAAAACCACATCTGGGTGAACTGTGAGAAGCCAATGGCTGCCTATGAGGTGGAGCTTTTGATGATGACTGGCATAGAAACTGACCAATCAAAAACAAATCTTTGTGAACTGTGAGGAGCTAATGGCTGCCTAGAAGGTGGAACTTTTGATGCTGAGTCACATAGAAACTGACCAATCAGAACCAAATTGGCCGGCCAGGGAGGGAAGCTAGGGGAGAGATCAGGCCAGCAGGGGAGGGCAGTTGGGGGCAACCATGCTGGCAGGGGAGGGCAGTTGGGGGTGAGATCAGGCTAGCAAGGGAGGGTCATTGGGGGAGAAAATAGGACAGCAGGGGAGAGCAGTAGGGATCAGGCCTATACTGGCAGTCGGACATCCCCCAAGGGGTCCCCAATTGGAGAGATTGCCGGCTGGCCTGAAGAAATCCCCCCTTTGGCACAAATTTCATGCACCGGGCCACTAGTAGTAGTATATGCAATTAAACTACTGCATATATGTTAGTTCATTATAGAAACCAGCCCATTTACTGATAGGCTTTTTGAGAACTACCGGTATTTGTTCTGATATTTCTGAGACTAATTTAGAGCCATTCTAAACTATCTGAAGCATCAAAACACTTTGAAAGGAGGCTATTGGTAATATAAATATCAAGTTACTACTTTTTACTAACAAAGATAAATGGAGAAAAAAGAATCCATTAGTAGATAGTTGTAAAAGCTTAATTCTTTTAGAACTTTGAAAGGCAAAGCTGATGCCCCCATTTTCAAAAAGAGGTAAAAAGTTTATCTCAGGCAGCTAATATATTGAGGTTTACTGTGTGATAAGTACTTTGTGCAAATTACACTCCATCCTTCCAAGAACCCGATGAAATAGGTCACTATTATTTTATAGCTGAGGAAACTAAGGCTCAGAGGGGAAACAGCATGTCCAAAGGCACACAGGTAAACCTGATTTTAATATACTTCTATTGATTTCAGAGAGGAAAAGAGAGGGAGAGAGATGGAAACATCCACGATGAGAAAGAATCACTGACCAGCTGCCTCCTGCATGCCCCGCATCGGGGATTAACCCTGCAGCCTGGGCATGTGCCCCTCAGTCCTCAGGTCAATGCTTTGTCCACAGAGCCAAACCAGCTAGTGGAACCTGGTTTTAAACCTGCGTCTGATTCCAAAGCCAGCTTGTTCTCACTACAAAGCCTGTCGATGACCTTTACAGTATCATAGGACACATTTTTGTGTGTGGTTGGCTTTAGGAAGAGGCCTCCTGAGTCACCAGCATGGACTCACTAAAACCAAGTCATGCACTTTACTATTACAGTAGCAGACCAACCCTCCACGCCAGAACAATTAGAAAAGCATGATGAATACAAAAGACATTTGCTTGAAGACACTGGAAAGTACCAAGATAGCCAAGATTCAAGAGGCTAAAGTCCCAGAGAAGAAAGTACAAAAATGTGAGACTGTGACATTCTGAGCTGCTTTCTTCTTGATGCATTTACCAATTTATAAGAGGTACAGTTAAGAGGCAGAAATACAGAACAGAAATTGGCTGGTAAAAAATTAAGGAGTTATTGGCAATCTTATGGTGCTCCGGAAATATGAATTTGAGTGCAAGGTGGCAAGACTTGGCTTTCATTAGGGACCTCTGAAGGACTATACTCAAGAAGGGTAGATATTGTTATAGACTAGTAGCCTGCTGCGTGAAATTCGTGCATGGAAGGGGCCATTCCCTCAGCCCAGCCGGCATGCTCTCCAATCGGGGACCCCTTGGGGCCTGATCTCGCCCCCAACTGCCTTCTCCTGCCAGCCTGATCTTGCCCCCACTACCCTCCCCTGCCAGCCTGATCTCGCTCCCAAAGGTCCTCCCCTGCTGGCCTCATCTCACCCTCAATAGCTCTCCCCTGCTGGTCTGACCTTGCCCCCCAAAGCCCTCCCCTTGCCAGCCTGGTTGCCCCCAACTGACCTCCCCTGCCAGTTTGATCTTGTCCCTAACTGCCCTCCCCTTGCTGGCCTGATCTTGCCCCCAACTGCCCTCCTTTGCTGGCCAATTTGGTTTTGATTGGCCAGTTTCTATGCCAGTCCATGTCAAAAGCTCTGCTTCCTAGGCAGCCATTGGCTCCTCACAGTTGACCCAGATTTGGTTCTGATTAGCCAATTTCTTTCTTTCTTTCTTTTAAAAAAATATATTTTATTGATTTTTTACAGAGAGGAAGGGAGAGATATAGAGAGCTAGAAACGTCAATGAGAGAGAGACATCAACCAGCTGCCTCTTGCACACCCCCTATTGGGGATGTGCCCGCAACCAACGTACATGCCCCTGACCGGAATCGAACCTGGGACCTTTCAGTCCATAGACCAACACTCTACCACTGAGCCAAACCGGTTTCGGCAAGATGGGCCAGTTTCTATGCCAGTCAGTGTCTCTAGGCCTATTAACAGGGCCTTCTCAGACAGACAGGGCTGCTGGCCAGGCTCAGAGGGAAAGAGAGAGGCAAGTGCTGATCAAAAGCTGCCACAGACGCTACAGATCAGCCCCTGTTTCTCTCTTCAGGTCTCTTTCCAGGCCTGATTCAAACCCCCCTCAACAGTAACTGCTGGGTCTCTGGGCCTGCAGCCACAGTAGTTAGCCCTTTATTCAATTCAGCAGCTTTTCCTAGTGGCACAAAATTATCCAGTGATACAAAATTATTCTCTCTCATATGTACACTGGTCAACTAGCATAGAACAGTATTCTAGGAAAGAAAGACATTGTTCCTGACAGGATAGCTTCTAACCCCACCCCCTCCTATGGACACTGATAATAGTAAGATTTAAATTAATTTGCTTGTTTATTTTTCTCCTGCAGACTCCATTAATAATATACCTCTTTCATTTCCTGATTGACTATGCTGAATTGGTATTTATGGTAAGCAACCTTCCACATAAAATGAATATGTATATATTTTAAATTTTATTGTCTTTAATCTTCTTGTTTTTAAGAAAATAATATATTTTAGGAGCTCAGGAGTTTCTTAGAATATAAAAGCAAAAACCTATTTTTTAATTTGGATTCATGGAACTGAATTGTACATTTGACCCTTGAACAATAGGGGGTTAATGGTGTCAACCCCCCACACTGTTGTCACCTGGTATCCAGGGATATTGGTTCCAGGACAACCTCTTCCCCTTTCCCCGTCACCCCATGGATATAAAAAAAAGTCCTTGGGTGCTCAAGTCCCCTAAATAAAATGATATTGATCAATGCATATAGTTGGCTTTATGCATCTGTAGACTCCCAACCCTGAATGGAAAACAGTACAAATATTTACTGAAAAATATCAGCATATAAGTTGACCTATGCAGTTCAAACCCAGGATGTTCAAGATCAACTGTGTTATGGAATTATGAAGAGTAGTTTATGACATATGACCAGTTCTAATTTCTTATATTTTTAAAATTTCATATGTGAAGTATGCAGCCTTGAATTTTCTAGCTCCAAGATTCTATGATTGGCTTTCATTATGGTGCCAGTGTTGAGGATATCCTCAGTTGCCTAAGCATTCTGCCAGGAGATTCTGTGACAAGGACTTAGGCCTGGTGAGACTTTCAGGGGTAAGAAATTGGGAAGACAGGGCCATGTTTTGAGAGCATAGTAATTTGAAACACTTGATTAATATAGGGTTGAAAAATCTGGGTAAAATAGGAGGTCCACTGAGCTCTTCCTTAATTATTATGAGTGCTGTTTATCGCGGACTTCCTCTGTTCTAGGCACTTGGCATACATCAGGCCTACAAAGCAGTGGGTACTATTTCCACTTTTCAGAAAACTTAGTAACTTGTAATTATAAAGCAAGTTCTCCAGTCATACCTCCCTGAAAAGGCTTTCTCTTTGGGTAGTCAAAGTGAGGGCTGAGGTTCTGCCTGACTTTAAGAAGTCAGTACTGGATAGTCCACTGCCTTCCAGAAACTTCAGACCCTTGTAGCATTCCTTTACTCCCACACTAATTGGGTTCATTTCCTGTTACTATTCTTTCTCTTAACAGATAACTGATGCACTCACTGCCATTGCCCTGTATTTTGCAATCCAGGACTTCAATAAAGTTGTGGTGAGTAGTCAGTGTGTTGGACAAAACTTATAGAATCTGGTAACCTGCTGGTATCTGTTATTAAGAAGATCAAAGGTCATGCATGTACTTAAGGATACAACATGTTTTAAGACACTGAGATGTGGGAGTGCAGCTCTGGCTTGTTCAGCCAGTCCTGGAATAGCTGAACAAGACAACTTTACTAATAGATACAGATTCATTTGATCTTTGTAGCTTAATATCCTCTTACCTGTGCCAGTTCAGACTTTTTGGAGCAAGTGGAATTGAACAACAGTTATATTAAAGAGGACGCTTAAAAATTATTCCATACCTTTCACCAGTTTTGTTTTTTTACAGAGGAAAATTAATACAGCTTTTAACTCACTGTGCTATGCCTATCTGAGGTAAAATCAGATTCCCAGTGAAGCTTCTATTTCTCTGCAGAGAGCAATCTTAATTGGAAAAATTGGCATATATTAAACACCTGTTGAAAGTGTTGATGCAAACTTTAGTTTTAATCCATATGTAATAGCCAAGGAGAATTGTATAGTGGGACTATTTTCATTTTCCTTGGTTCTGAGAGAGTTAACAGATAAACCATGTGTACTATCTATGTAGTTATTTTAAAAATTGGCTGCAGTCCTCCTTGATTGGCTGAGAGCCACTGAGATTTTGACCAGGGTGAGAGAAGGCTGCATCCCATTAATGTTGTCTGTCTGTGGTTCATTTTCACTTCTGTTACCAAGTAATAGAACCAGAAATAGCAGTCTGCCTTTCTGTAGAGTCTACGGTAGACTGTCATCAGTAACAAATGAAGTGGTGAATTACAGAATTTTAGACCTCAGAGACACTGTTAAAATATCTAGACTGAGAGTTTTTTTACCTGGGGTCCCTTATTAGGTCTATGAAACCCTTGAGGTGGTATGAAAATTTGTATATGTATGTGGATATGTCATTTTTTTTCGTGTGGAGAGTTCATAATTGTTAACAGTGCTTAAAGAGTTCTTAATTCCTACCCTAAATGATTAAGAACTACATTGTAGATACTTGTTAACAATTAGAGGCCTGATGCACGAAATTTATGCACAAGGGAGGGGTATGTCCCTCAACATGCACTGTCTCCAATCTGGGACCCCTCGAGGGATGCCTGATTGCCCGTTTAGGAGGGATCGGGCCTAAACAGGCAGTCAGATATCCTTCTCACAATCCAGGACTGCTGGCTCCAAACCGCTCGCCTGCCTGCCTCCCTGCCTGCCTGATCACCCCCTTACCACTCCCCTGCCAGCCTGATTGACGCCTAACTGCTCCCCTGCAGGCCTGGTCCCCCGAACTGCCCTCCCCTGCAGGCCTGATCCCCTCAACTGTATGTGTGTGAATTGAACCATGACCTCCTGGGCTACACGGGCTGGGCGAGTTCACTAGTTTATGTGACAGAAAATTCAAGGAGAATATTGTTGGCTTCATTCATCAATAATTTTTTTAAAAATATATATTTTATTGATTTTTTTACAGAGAGGAAGGGAGAGGGATAGAGAGCTAGAAACATCAGTGAGAGAGAAACATCGACCAGCTGCCTCCTGCACACCCCGTACTGAGGATATGCCCGCAACCAATGTACATGCCCTTTACCGGAATCGAACCTGGGACCTTTCAGTCTGCAGACCGATGCTCTATCCACTGAGCCAAACCAGTTTTGGCAATAACTTGTTTCCTAATTTATATGGAAACAGATAGAGATTTTTAATTTTTTTTCCCCTCTTTGTGATTTAAAGAGGGAAACCAAAGCCCAAATGAGCTAATTGTCACTACCTTGTTTTTTAGCACACCAAGACACTCTGTTATCATTGGCACCAACTTAAATTTTGGAATACCACATTTTCCGGCGTATAAAACGACCGGGCGTATAAGACGACCCCTAATTTTACAGTTAAAACATAGGTTTAGGCCTATCTTTGCTGTATAAGAGTACTCCTCACTTCCGAGGCAACACCAGTTCTTTTTTTAATAGACCTCTGGCCAATCTGAGCAGGCTTTTTACTAGAACACAGTGTAGCTTCCGGTACAGAACATGCATAATTTGCATGCATAAAAAGCCTGCTCGGATTGGCTGAGTTAGAGAGGTGGTCTGAGCAGCCTTGCAGTGATTGGTGCGGGATCGAGTTGGAAAATTCGTTTAGTGGCATATTCAGACGATTTTCGGGATCGAGTTGGAAAATTCACTTAGCGGCATATCGAGACGTTTTTTCAGGATAAAACTCGGCGTATAAGACGACCCCCGACTTTTGGTTGACTTTTTTTCGGTTCAAAAGTCGTCTTATACGCCGGAAAATACGGTAGTTTTGTTTCTTCATCCTCAGAATTCAGCTTATTCGAACATTTGGTTATGTGGTCAGAATAAGAATTTCATTTAAACTATGTCAAAAATTGCCCTACCCAGTTTGGCTCATTGGGTAGAGCATCCATTGGCTGCAGACTGAAGGGTCTCAGGTTTGATTCCAGTCTGGAGCACATGCCCGGGTGGCAGGCTCTTTCCCCAGTAGGAGGCATGCAAGAGGCAGCCAGTCAAGGATTCTTTCTCATCATTGATGTTTCTATCTCTCTCTTCCCTCCCTCTCTGAAATTAATAAAAATATATTTTAAAAAATAAACTGTTAAAAATTAACTCATTCTAAATGGCAGATTTTGATGATACTAATAAACTATGGTTGGTTTAGATAGAGCATTGGCACATATCTTCCTCCAAATCTTCCCCACTTTTTCAGAATGAGCCCATATCATACCTCCAGCGAGACTAAATTGCTCCTATATGAGCTCCCTGTGTCTCCTGGATCTCACACTCTTCAGGTGGCCTTCTTTGTGCCACAGAACTCCACAATCCTTAGCTAGTGGGGCCTCAGTCCTACCACTGCTACTGCAGCTGTCCTCAGTGCCCTCTGTTTGCTGAGCTAGCCACCTTTCCTTTGATAAAAACTCCGTAGTCTATATTTTGTCCGTTTAATTAAACAAACCCAACTGTGCATGGCAGTATAAGTTTTACTGATGATAATTCCTACAACTTAACTTGGACTCTCAGAGATGATCAGAGAGGTTTTTTGAAGTTTGAAGTTTGTTCAGGTTTTCTGATTATGCCTCTAGCTTAAGTTATATAAGAAATCTGGGGTTACTTGTATTCCTGTGATGATCCTTTGAATTTCTTTTGAACTGAAAGATGATTTTTTTTTTACTTAAAATTTTTAAATTATTAATACCTAAGATATGAGAAAATATATAAAGAATAATACACTCATTTGGGATGGCTCAGTGGTTGAACATCAACCTATGGTTTGATTCACGGTAAGTGCATATGCCCTGGTTGCTGGCTTGATCCCCAGTGTGGGGCATTCAGGAGGCAGCTGATCAGTGATTCTCTGTCATCACTGACGTTTCTATCTCACTCTCCCTCTCTCTTCTTCTCATCAATAAAATATATTTTAAAAATACATGCTATGAATCTATTTTGGCTTAAAAAATAAAACATTACACATAGAGTTGCCTCTCTCTATACTTTCATCTCCTTACTCCCCCTCTCACCAGTTACCACTGTTCTGACTTCTGCATTTATTATTTCTACACATGGCCGTGTAATATCCCTAAATCACATGTAGTGTTTTTTTTTTCATGCTTTTAACTTTATATAAATGGTACAGTGCAGTATATATTCTGTTGTCACCTGTCATTTTCATCATTAAATCTTTACTCACATAGTTAAGTGCTAGCTACTTTGGCTGCTCTGAATTACTGTATTTTATAATAGGTTGCAGCATTGATTTTTATATGGTCTAAATAAGATTCTCTGATCATTAAATGAGCAAGGCTACCCATTTTAGGTTCAGAGACTTTTTCCATCTGTAGTCTGACCCATGTTTACTTATAAGGTTGCCTAACCCTTTTTCATTCTGGAACACACCTGTGAACTTGTTGGGACATACCAGGGTAAGGCAAAAGCTTTCCACCCCCATCTCACTCCCTCTTACCCATCCAGCTGCCCAGCCACGCCCAGCCACGCCCAGCCCTCTTCCTGTTCATCCTGGCCATTCCCCACTTCCTCTTTGGAAGTCAACAACTTGAAAGGAGAGAGCGCAGAAGAAAACTCAGGATACTGTGACATTCAAGGGACCATTTCACTTTGCATGAAAACATTTCACTTTGCTGATGGGACTTTGCAGTCTTTAGGCCATTGATAATGACTTCAGAATGAATAAGAACTTTGCTTTGCCACCTAGTCATTCATATAACCATCCAACGGGTGTTTATCCTTTGCTCACTGTGCCAGGTATTGGCAATAAACACTGTCCCTACCCTGGGGAACTCATAGTCTAGTGAGGGAACCGCATATTAGTCACATACATTTTTAAGAAAGTTATAACTGTGAACAGTGCTATGAAACAATGTGCATAATGGGGAGATTTTACCCAATCGAGGTGGGGGTGAATGTGCCTCGCTGAGAAAGATTATTTTACTCAGGTCTATGTGGAGTTCACTAGGGTAAGAGAAGAGGTTGTTCCAGGTTAAATGTAAAGAAAGGCCTGGGAGCAGGAGGGGCCTGGTGTGCTCATGATATTTGAACTTGGAAAGTGAGAGGTGGGGGGAGTGGGCATGAGATGCGCCTGGAGAGGTGGGGCCACGTGGGTCATGGCAGGACTTTTGTTTTCATCCTAAAAGCAACAGAAAGTAATTTGTTTAATGTGTTTTGTCATTCTTTCCAGTTTAAAAAGCAGAAACTCCTCCTTGAACTAGACCAGTATGCCCCAGATGTGGCCGAACTCATCCGAACGCCAATGGAAATGCGTTACATCCCTCTGAAAGTGGCCCTGTTGTAAGTATTCTCTGACAAAACAGGCTCAGAGCCAGCAAATGCGAGGAAAATCTGATGAGACTTTCTCATGTTGTTTGTTGTATTTTTGGAGATTTGCAGTCTTAGTCATCAAGTATTTGCTGTAGTTCTGTTGCACAACTGGGGTTCTGGCCAGCAAAAGAGACAGAGCCATTCTTTCTCTGTTGGGACAAAGCCTCATACAGGAACACGCACAATCCACCCTTCACAGATTCTTTTTCACTCTATGCTGATCTGAGCTCTAGCCTACTTGTAACCACTGTTTGTTTCTTTAAAAAAAAAATAAAGATCCTTCTTCAGTTGTGATATGTGGATTAAATAAAATCCTGGTCTTTATGTGGTTGTTGTTTTCAGCAGCTTTTATCCTTCATGAACAAGTTAGCCCCCCATTTGTCAGAAAACAAGTAGAGTTCCAAACAGACCCATCCCAGATGCCTAAAAGGGCGACTGGTATGGGAGAGTGAAACTACGGAGCTCTGTGAAAGAATGCCTTAGGAGTATTCCGTGCTGTCAGTAAGATTAATTCTTTCAGGTTATTCCCGTTTATATTCCTGAGATAGGCAAATGTGAATAATTATTCCACCAACTAATAGTCATTGAATATTAATAATATACTAGTTTTAGAGATACACATTAAACAAGTCAGACAAGTTTCCTCATGGAAAAACATGACCTTAGAACTTTAGAATTAGAAGGAGCCTTCTGAGGACAGTTTATTCAACCCTCTGCCTGTGTGTGACTCTCCTGTTCAGTAGTCCAGAGAGCTGGCTGTGTAGCTGCTTCTTAAACATCATCTTCTACTTAGAAATGGTTCCCTCCCACCACCACCACCACCACCACCACCACCACCAGTTTTGAGGTATCAGTTCATATCTATGTATTTTAGAAAAATTGCTGGGAACTATTTAATAGAACCAGAGGTTTAGGGACACTATTAGTCCCTTATGGATTAATATGTCTCCTGAGGGTAGTTTTGTAATAGCAGCAGCCATTTCTTTAAAGGTTGTGTAATAAGCCTATCTGTCATTGCTGGAAAAAAACACACCAACAATTTCTAGGCCTTTGTCTTTAGAACTGCTAGTGTTACAGCCCTGGGAGGTATTGGATTTAAGGTCTTTATTTGTAAATAATAATTATAATCTCCCTGAGACACTGGTATGTTTCTTCCTATCTGATAATCAGAATTATGTAACTGGTCTCCCTTTTCACACAGTCTGCCAGGAAACGCAGAGCCAGATTTGAAGCTGATTATTATGGTGCTGTAGAAGACAAATTGGGTCTTCTTTCCCTGGCCTTCACTTTCTCCTTTTATTCATGTTTTCCCTGGTCTTGTTTCTTTATTTCTGTTTTTATTTTACTGCTATTTTTTATTCTCGGTTCTTATTTGAGTCACCTCTAATCTTTTGTGGAAGCAAGATAGAAATAAATAAAAATAATAATCCATTATGAGTATATGAGCTTTCCTTACTTATTTCAAATTCATTTTCTTAGTCCATTCCTTTTCATCTCAGGAAAAGACTACATGTTTCAGCTCAGTGCCATCCCAGTGGAAGTTCAGGTGCCTGTGAGGTTCTGTGGAACTAGCTTGTCGGAGTCAGCAGATAACGTGTTCCGCCTCGGGGTCTTGGCTCGGGGACACTTTTACCACCAGGAGGGCTAAATCCAAGCTGCTCTGCCATTGAACGGGAGTGTCCTGTGTCATGGCTTAGGAACCTGACAGGAAAAAGTACTTTTCTGGTTTTCAGAGATGCATGTAGCATTCCTAAGACATATGATTATGGGGAAATTGGTATAATTTTATCATTTTGAAGTTTGAGGTGGTAAAAAAAAATATAGCTTTAGAGCTGAAGAGACCTAATTTTTAATATATTCATTAGCTTGTGAACCTTGGGCAAGTTAATTACCCGTATTTTCCGGCATATAAGACGTCTTTTGAAACGAAAATAAGTCAACCGAAAATCGGGGGCAAAAGACCAAAATTGCACAAAAATTACCTGCAGATCTTTTTTTTTTTTTTTTTTTTTTTTTTTACCTGCAGATCTTGACGGCAAAGTAAGTCTTTTCTTTGAAGTGGGGGGTAGTCTTATACAGCGAATATAGGCCTAAACCTATGTTTTAACTGTAAAATTAGGGGGTCGTCTTATATGCCGGAAAATATGGTAATAACTTAGTCTCAGCTTCCTCATCTGCGAAACAGGAATAATGTTATTGCTAGTTTATAGGATCTCTACAGTATATTATAAAAAGCCAGTGGCCCTAACACCGTAACGACCAAACAACCAGTCACCATTAAGTGCATGGAGCATCTCTCAGTCCCTCCCTGTGGCCCACAGGCTCTGGTCACAGCAAGACAGTGGCCGGCAGCAGGCGGGTGGGGCCAGGTGGGGTGGGCTTGGTGAGGCGCTTATGGGTGGGTGGGGCCACGTGATTTTGCGTGCTGGGCTTCTAGTGCTTAAATAAGACAGTTTTCTATAGACCACATAGCACAGAAAAAGGAGTGAAAGTTCAGTACCTTTTACGCATTGGCCTCAAGCCCACTCCATTCTCTTCTACTTAGGAGAACTCATTGCTAAGAAGCTGCCTCCCCTTGAGTATGTTTTTAGTACTAATACTAAATCTCTTTAATTTTCTGCACATAGTGACATAGACTCTCTGGTCCTTTGACCAGGATTACTAATACCAAATATGTGTGCTTTTCCCCAGCTATCTCTTAAATCCCTACACGATCTTATCTTGTGTTGCCAAGTCTACCTGCGCCATCAACAATACCCTCATTGCTTTCTTCATTCTGACCACGATAAAAGGTAAGACACCAGAAAGTACAAGCCCTGATTTTTGTAGGGTATTGTAACACATTGTGGATTTTTAAAAAATACAATGCAACACTTAAAAAAAAATTTTTTTTAATTACACAAGTATGAGTGGATAAAAAAGCTGTGGTACATTTACAATAGAATACTACTACTCAGCTATTAAAAAAAAAAAAAAAAAAAAAAAAAAAAGGAAATGTTACCTTTTGGGACACTGTGGGTGGACCCGGAGAGCGTGCTAAGTGAAATAAGGCCAGGCAGAGAAAGACAAACACCATGTGGTTTCACTTACATGTGGAGTCTAAAGAACAAAATAAATTAACAAACAACCCATAGATACTTAAAGCAGACTGACAGCTGTCAGAGGGGAGGAGGGTGGAGGGACTGGGTGGAAAAGATGAAGGCATTAAGCAAAATGAAAACAAAAACGGACATTATGGTGACTGCCAGAGGGAAAGGGGTGGGGGCGGTGGAAGAGGGCAAAGGGAGAATAAATGGTGGTGGAAAGAGACTTGACTTTGAATGGTGCTTGCACAATGCAGTATACACATGATGTGTTATAGAATTGTACACCTGAAACCTGTATGATCTTATTAAGCAGAGTCACCCCAATAAATCCAATTAAAAAAAAGAACTACAGCTGAAACCGGCTTGGCTCAGTGGTAGAGCGTCGATCTGCGGACTGAAAGGTCCCAGGTTCGATTCCGGTCAAGGGCATGTACATTGGTTGCAGGCACATCCCTAGTAGAGGGTGTGCAAGAGGCAGCTGGTCGATGTTCTCTCTCATTGACGTTTCTAACTCTCTCTCCCTCTCCCTCTCTGTAAAAAATCAATAAAATATATTAAAAAAAAATTTTCTAAAAAAAAGAACTACAAAAAAAAATTACAGCCGAAACCGGTTTGGCTCAGTGGATAGAGCGTCGGCCTGCGGACTGAAGGGTCCCAGGTTCGATTCCGGTCAGGGCCATGTACCTTGGTAGTGGGCACATTCCCAGAGGGGGTTGGGGGCTGTAGGAGGCGGCTGATTGATGTTTCTGTCTCATTGATGTTTCTAACTCTCTATCCCTCTCTCTTCCTCTCTGTAAAAAATCAATAAAATATATTTTTAAAAATTTTTAAAAATACAGCTCACTGGTGTGCCTCAGTGGATGAGTGTCAACCTGTGAAGCAGGAGGTCACAGTTTGATTCCTGGTCCGGAAACACGCCAGGTTTTGGGCTCAATCCCCAGGCGGGACATGCAGGAGGCAGCCCATCGATGTTTCTCTTTCATCAGTGTTTATGTCTAAGCCAAAATAAAGATTTATTTAAACATCTTGAGCCCTGGCCCAGCTGGTGGCTCATTAGATTGAGCATCATCCCATGGACTAAGAGGCCCTTGGTTTGGTCCCAAATAGGGGGCTTGCAGGAGTTAGCCAAACAACGAGTCTTCCTCATCATTAAAATTTCTATCTCTCTCTCCCTCTCCCTTCTTCTCCGAAATCAATAAAAATATATTTAAAACAATAAAACAGAACATCTCGAGCCCTGGCCTGTGTAGCTCAGCTGGGCGTTGTTGTGTGCACCAAAAGGTTGCTGATTCGATGGATGTTACACTCTCACATCGATGTTTCTCTCTCTCTCTTTAAAAATCAAAAACAGTTCTTTAAAATTTTTCTCAAAATTCTATCATTCAGAGAGTTACTGTTAAGATTAGAAAAATATCTTTTCTAAATGGCTTATAATTTTCTAAATGAGACGGCAGCCTCTCTGCCTCTCTCTTCTTACCTGTAGTTCAACTTATTCATAGCATTTCTCCTGGCTTTTGCTAGTGTTTACTTCCATACTTCTAAATAAGACTTCATTGCTATTTAATGAATTACAAATTTTAGACATCAATTCTATTCTCATAGAAGATAAAGATTTAGCTTTTTGTACCAATATCTCCACTTTCCCTTTACCTCATTTTATTCAAGGAGTTATGCCACAATTTTGATTAAATCAGTAATTGGTACCTGTATTCTATGACACTGTATATATTTTTTACTACTGGGCATAATAGTAACTAAGATTACTTTTTCCTTCTTATACAATCTTTTATGTTTCCTGTGGTCAATAATTCTTTTTTCCCCCTCCAGTTGCTTTGCTAGATCTGTCAAGTGCCTAAAAATAGTTTTTAAAAATGCTTAAAGAGCCAAAACCGGTTTGGCTCAGTGGTAGAGCTTCGGTCTGCGGACTGAAGGGTCCCGGGTTCGATTCCGGTCAAGGGCATGTACATTGGTTGCGGGCACATCCCCAGTAGGGGGTGTGCAAGAGGCAGCTGGTCGATGTTTCTCTCTCATTGACGTTTCTGGCTCTCTCTCTCTCTCCCTTCCTCTCTGTAAAATATCAATAAAATATATATATATTTTTAAAATGCTTAAAGACTTCCAATAGTCTCTCGGTGCTACTATTTTTCTGGAGCCCTCCCTCACGCATCCTCCATTTTGCCCCTAGCTGACCTGGTTGTTGCCCAGGCCTGGTGCAAAGCTGCTATTGTGGGACTTTTTATAATGCTCATAATTCTCCTGCATTGTATTCCTTATTTCCTGGATTTCTTCTCCCCTTTATTGACTTTTTTCTCTTTGTTTTGCTAAGTAGTTTCTCGAGTAGTTTTCTAAGAAAGGGTGTATTAAATACATATCTTGAGTCATTTTATGTCTGAAAAATGTTTTTGCTCTAGTTCAGCACCAAATTAATAGTTGGGGCAGAGTATACAGTTCTAGACTGGAACAACCTTTCCTTTAGAATTTTGAAGGCATTGCTTTACTGTCCTCTAGAATCCTGGTTGTTATTGAGCTGTTGACTGCCGTTATATTTTCTTTTCTGAAAGATTTAAGAACTTTTTTTTTATCCTTAGTGTTTTGAAATTTCATGATGCTGTGTCTTGACATAGGTCTTTCTTAATTCATTATACTAGGCAATTGGTATGTCCTTTCAATGTAGAGACTAGTATCCTTAAGTTCCAGAAGGTATTTCTATATTATTTTTTCAAATTCTCTGTTTTCTCTGTTCGCTTATTTGTTCTATTAGATATTGGACTTTCTTGATTGATTTAATTTGCATATTTTATTTTCTATTGATAGTTCCAGCTCTTTTACTTTCTCTTTTTCTGGGATATTTCTTTGTTTTTATCTTCTAATTTCTCTCTTGAATTTTTAAACTTTCTAATTCATTTTTAAGTTTTTTCTTGGTCTCAATTATTTTTTGAAGTAGCTTCGCCCCCCCCCCCCCCCTCAGTTCTCATCTGTTTCAAGCATAGTCTTTTTGTCTTCTTTGTCATCCCTCCACCACTTTCTTTTTCTGTTTCTTTCAGGCTCTGTCTTTCGGGAGGATTTTCTCTCATTTATGGTGATCCTTGGCTGTTTGTTTATGTTTAAGAGTGAGGCACTCACATGATGACTTGAGACTGCAGGGGCAGGACTTGTTAATGGATCATTCTTGCTGTGGGGAGATTGGGCATTGGGCTGACCTTTTTGGTTGGAAGTATCTCTATATGTCATCATTTATAGGTTTTCTTTTTCTCTGAAACTATTTACTGTTTCCAGAGAGGAATTTTCCAATTTTCTTCCCGATAGTAACAGAGTTGGAGTTGCAGTGGGGTGGGGTTCATGTGACCAACTATTGAAGTTGTGAGAGTAGGAACAGAGGAGGTGGCAGATTGCAACGTATGGATTTTATATAATCTCATTTCTCTTCAGCCCACACTTCTCCTCAACCCATTACTGTGCTTAGTGCACCCTAAACCTGTGCTTCTTCAGTTAATATTCTCCAGAACTGTAGTCTCTGGATGGAGTAGAAAGTTGGGAGTTGGAGTGTATATAGTTAAGATGAGACCTGAGGTTCTGCCTGATCTGTATGTAAACTTTCAGCTTGATTTTCATCTCTGTACCTTACCTCACCTTCCATAATATCTGATGCCTTCAAGGTGATGAATTTCTCAGAAGTTCTTTGGAGTGAGTTGGCTTTATTTTTATTGATATTCCTCTCCGAGATCCCTGAATTGTAATTTCTTCCACATTGCTCAGTCATTTATCCTTCTTCTACCTGCTTTATGTTTCTACTATTTATTACATTTTATTTTGCTGTAATCTCCTTTCCTGTCGTTTGTGGCTTAAGACTAGTTTTATTCTTTTATCGTCATTTTAAGTGAATTTTTTGGAGAGATGATACACATGTGACCAATCTACCATTTTTTTAAAAATATATTTTATTGATTTTCCACAGAGAGGAAGGGAGAGAGACAGAGAACTAGAAACGTCAATGAGAGAGAAACATCGACCAGCTGCCTCTTGCACACCCCCCACCGGGGATGTGCCCACAACCAACATACATGCCCCCGACCGGAATCGAACCTGGGACCCCTCGGTCCGCAGACCGACGCTCTACCACTGAGCCAAACTGGTTTTGGCCCAATCTACCATTTTTTAACTGGAAGTCTGTTAGCTTTGGGGTATATATCTCCATATTTTTTCTATCCATTTTTCTTTCAAACTTTTAAATATTGTATCTATTAACTATCACCTCAAGAATGTTATTCAACAAACCACTTCAAATCTCAGTGGCTTAGAGCAACAATAAGCAGTAGCTTCTATGTCTATAAGTCAACATGGGTCCTCTAATCTGGGTTTGACGTGGCGAGGCAGTTTGTTGGTTTCATCAGGGCTCATTCCTGCATCAGTAGCTAGGTGTAGTTGGTTAAACTAGACTGAACTCTTCTACATATGTCGATTATCTTCCAGGGGACTAATTTAGGTGTGTTCTTTAAAAAAAAAATTATCTTTATTGTTGAAAGTAGGTATGTTCTTGTCATAGTGATAGCAGAGGCACAACTGTGAGCAAGCCCAGTCAGGCATACACTTTTTTTTTTTTTTTTTTTTTTTTTTTTTTTAATATATTTTATTGATTTTATACAGAGAGGAAGGGAGAGAGTTAGAGAGTTAGAAACATCGATGAGAGAGAGTCATCGATCAGCTGC